GTTTAAATTGTTGAAAAATTTGCGATTTGCGCATGCTGATTATAATTTATTGTATAACTTATTGTGTTCGTGCGTGCATTGGGGTACTTGGTGGAAAAATATCGGTCCAGTAATAAGAAGGAGAAAAGCGAAGATAGGTAAGAGAACTTCTTATAATTTACAAATGTTTGTGTAGTAGTTGAATTTCTAAGAGCGGATAAACTAATTAAACCTATTAATTATTTTATCGTATGTGTTTCCATAAATTGTAATTTTATATTTAATATACAAGAAGAATTTCTCCAATTTATAAAACGATTGTAAAATCTATAGATATAACTAAACTGTTTTATTTGTAGTCCATTCTGTTACAATTTCTCATAGCACTAGGAACTTTTTTTGTCCCTATTATACTAGTTTTTCTGCGTGTAATATTATATACCTACTACGATGAAAAGTTTCTGAGATGATTTAATTTACAGAAAAAAGAAATAGCTACTGCAACCGAAATTAGAAAAATAATATATACGAATAAGCAAAAATTTGACAGAATTAAGAGGAATTTGGTGGAATTTTCATCTTTTCAAGTTCGTGCTATTGGAAATAAAAACATCGAAATTGATTAATGTTCTTGCATTTTTGTTGCAAACTCATGTGTTTCTACAAATATTAATGCTATAGCAGATTTAGAAAAAATAAAGGAATGCAATGTAATTAAAACTTGAAACTTTGAAAATTTGATTGTAGGGATTATTCAGAATGATTTTTTTAATTAAAACTTTTTCAACTATGGGTTATACAAGAAGTTAATGCCAACTTTGTGATTTTATATGGTATAAATAGTATATTTTTTACGGCGACTTCTTATGAAACACTAAATTATAAGGTACAGTCAAAACATAAATTACTAAAAACTAACTACAATATTGTAATATCAGAATTACAGCGTAAACTCTATATAACGGCACTTAAGGGACTGAACATTTTTCGGCGTTATAAAGAGTGGTCGTTAAATGGAGAGAAATAAAAGATATTATTTTACTATTCTATAATAATATGCATTTACCAATATAGTACACATTTTGCACACGAACATTATTATTCATACATTGCGTATAGCCTGTTATCTTCGTCTGATGTTTTTTGCTGCTCCAATATTTTAATTGTATTTTGTTACGTATCTTACTCATATCTTGAGATACTGCTGGATCAATTTGATTATATAAAAAGTATTTTTTTAATAGTTTCGCTGCATCAAGTGCTTGTTTGATGCTTGGTGGAGGGACAGGATCGTCTTCTTCAACAACGTACACAGCTGCAGTTCTTATCTATTTCGGCAACTTAGAAAGTACTGCTTAATGATTTATAATGCCGCATTGTTGTCGTTAAATAGAGTGAGCGTGACGCTATATAGAATGTAATATTGTATAGAAAACAATGTAAACCAACCAAAGTCAAGCAATTTCGACGTTTTAAGGAGTTTGTCGTTAAATCGAGTGACGTTATAAAGAGTTTACACTGTATATACTAAAATGTTACAATTTGTATGGCTATAAACAAATTGTTAATGAAATTTTTACTGCAATTTTGTAATCATTATTTTTTTAAAAACAGTAAAAAGGTATTAAAAAATTATTTCATTGATAACTAAAATATGGGTCTCGGAGCATACGTAAAAAAATCAGGAAAGATATATCAGGTCGATTTTCTAGCACTGGCATTAATTTGAATTTTCAAAATTTGTTTACTTTCAAATTACAGTATACGAAAACTACTTCACCGATCTTGACCAAATTATACATACCTTCAACTATATTACACTACATTTTCATGACAAAGAACCAATTGATTCACTACGCATTGAATTGTAATTGCGTTATTTGGCATTTTGTCTATTTTTTAATAAAATTTTTTTTTTAATCATACCGGCACTATCTTCTAGGAAGTTGAACGAGGAACAAAAAAGGTCCAGTGCAATTTCGTTCTAGGAGGCTTCTATTTATAGAAACATGCCGAAAAAAAGGCATTTTCGGTTAATTTTGCAGTAATTGATTTTTCACACAAATTCCAACCAAAAGAATCACTGCGCAAACCCCTAATTGTTGTTCCGAACCATTTGCTATCAAAAAGCTAATTGTGCATAGTCACAACCAAAATAAAAGGGATTCTTCCACCGATTGCGCTAGTGGTACATTAGAGAAATTTTAAAAAAATTAAACATGTAGATTTGAAAATTTGACAGTAGGGGTATTCCAGGATGATCTTTTTAATTAATTTAATTTTAAGTATAGGCTACTTTTGCTTTTACCGGAAGTTGATGCCGACTCTGTTATTTTAAACGATATAGTATATTTTTTACGACGGATTCCTATGAAACACTAAATTTCAAGGTACACACAAAAAATAAAGTGCTAAAAAATAANCTTTTTAATTAATTTAATTTTAAGTATAGGCTACTTTTGCTTTTACCGGAAGTTGATGCCGACTTTGTTATTTTAAACGATATAGTATATTTTTTACGACGGATTCCTATGAAACACTAAATTTCAAGGTACACACAAAAAATAAAGTGCTAAAAAATAACCACAATTTTGTAATATTCCAATTGTATGCTTAAACGAAAGTATAAATCTTGCATTCAAGTTCGGGTTTGTTCGGACCTCCTTCATGTTACAATTTATAAGCCTTTAAACAAATTGCTAATGAAATTTTTACTACAATTTTCTTACTTAAAATTTACAAATGTATCTACTTTTTTTTGGTGTGCCTACATTTTCTACAAATAATTTATTTTGTATGAAATGGGTTATGTTCTGTTTTGCTACAATTTTGTAAAAAATATCCCTATAAGTTATTAAAAAAAATCTACACAAGTTTAAATTGTTGAAAAATTTGCGATTTGCGCATGCTGATTATAATTTATTGTATAACTTATTGTGTTCGTGCGTGCATTGGGGTACTTGGTGGAAAAATATCGGTCCAGTAATAAGAAGGAGAAAAGCGAAGATAGGTAAGAGAACTTCTTATAATTTACAAATGTTTGTGTAGTAGTTGAATTTCTAAGAGCGGATAAACTAATTAAACCTATTAATTATTTTATCGTATGTGTTTCCATAAATTGTAATTTTATATTTAATATACAAGAAGAATTTCTCCAATTTATAAAACGATTGTAAAATCTATAGATATAACTAAACTGTTTTATTTGTAGTCCATTCTGTTACAATTTCTCATAGCACTAGGAACTTTTTTTGTCCCTATTATACTAGTTTTTCTGCGTGTAATATTATATACCTACTACGATGAAAAGTTTCTGAGATGATTTAATTTACAGAAAAAAGAAATAGCTACTGCAACCGAAATTAGAAAAATAATATATACGAATAAGCAAAAATTTGACAGAATTAAGAGGAATTTGGTGGAATTTTCATCTTTTCAAGTTCGTGCTATTGGAAATAAAAACATCGAAATTGATTAATGTTCTTGCATTTTTGTTGCAAACTCATGTGTTTCTACAAATATTAATGCTATAGCAGATTTAGAAAAAATAAAGGAATGCAATGTAATTAAAACTATTATCCAGTTTTGAAAAACTGAAGAGTTATTAAATAATCGGTTTTATTGCAAAGAACCGTTTCTTATCAAAAAATGATAATTTTTGGAATTAAATATTAAAATATGTATATTATTCCAAGCATGTAAAATAAAGGAAGCTAATATACGATCTATAAATAGCTTTTTACAATAAATTGAAAAGTTTAAGCTTTCAATGGTGTATTCTCGATGAAACATTTTCAATAATAAAAGAAACAGAAAGGAATAAAATGTTTCAACAAAAACGTTTATTCCTCTCTTAGGGTAGGATAGGTTAGGTTAGGTTAGGTTATGGGAATAAACATTTTTGTTGAAACATTTCCTTTTTGTTTCCTTTAAAATTGAAATGTTGCACATTGAATTGTTCAATAATTATCTGGTGGTTCGTTTTCGTTTTTGGAGTACTACTTCTACAGTATTTAAATTGTATTATCGCGCAATTTTGCAGGTAATCAAACAAGCTGTAACTTTTTTGTACGATCAATAGGTATATT